TTTTTTTCCTTTTTTTTTTTTTTTTTTTTTTTTTTTTTTTTTTTTTAGCCTATTGATTTTTAAGTGCATTAGCTGTATCAGTAGCCATAAGCAATAATATCAAAACTTTGCGTTTATAGGGGTTCTTTCCAGCTGATGGGTTTCATCCCACATCGGTCTGGTGTCCCCACTGCCTGTATCAAAAACCTGGATTTCATACTTTACTGCATCAACTCTATAAATTCTGTGCGACATCTAGGGCCGTACCTGGTCCATGCAGGCTGACCCTGGAATGCGCACCTGTTGTATGTCCCGTGAGCAGAGGGCAGCCCTCCGGCTTCAGGAGCTGTTTTGCCCTCATTTATAGAGCCGAAACCAGGGACTGTCCAGTGGGGTACACGAATGCCCACCTCTCTTGGACAGCTCTGGAGGCCTAACTTACTTCAAGCCCCACTGCAGCATCGGGCTGAGGCCTACCATTTGCCAACTTCTGTTTGAGCTCAGACCATTGTCCAGCTTCCTCTGCTTCCCTGTCCTGCTTCCCAGCTCTCTTGACAGTTTCCAGGAGAACATTTCCTTAAGAAAAATTTGGCATAGGGGCGCCTGGGTGGCTCAGTCAGTTAAGCATCTGACTGCGGTCAGTCAGGTCATGATCTCGGGGTCCTGGGGTAGAGCCGTGCATCAGGATGCCCTCCCTCCACTTGCATGCACTCTCTCAAATAAATAAATAAAATCTTGGGAAAAAGAAAAAGAAAAGAAAAAAAAAAGAAAGAACTTGGCACAAATCCTCATCTCGGTGCCTGATTCCTGGTCTTGGGATCTTCTTCTGGAGAACCTGACCTTAGATCCCCTCTGACCAGGTAAGCTCACCTTCCTCCTTGGTGCTGCCTCTGTTCCCAAATGACTGCCATTCCCCTCACACAGAAATACCCTCGTCTTCCCCTGCCGCTCTGCCTGGGACAGGGAAGCATAACGATCAAAGGAGGTACTGTAAGTGAAAACACATCTAACCCTATAAAATACCCTACAAATGGAAATCACTGGTGGTAATGCTTTGTCTCACCCATCCTTCCATATCTGGATCCAGCACCACCCCCTCCAGGAACGGGGGCCCCCACTCTCCCTGCCACATTTTTTCATCATCCATCTTCTCACCTATAGCATAAGCTCCATGAAGGTAAAGATTTGCTCTACTCACTGTGGAAGGAATGAGATACATTCACAGGATGTATTTATGCATTCAACAAATATGCGTTAAGGAATGTTTCAGGAATTAAAGGGCCGAAAGCCATGTTAAAAATCATCTAGAGTACCTATAGCCCGGAGAGGATAAATAACTTCCCTAACGTACAAAATAACTTCGTGGCAGATTCTTGATCTCTTATCTCCCAGACCTAAGGACTTCCCATCTGAGGCCCCAGTTTGAGGCCCTGCATCTTTTTAGATGGGCAGCTGCAGAGGAAAACGGCAGCCCCTTCTCCTTCAACCAAACAGCTGGCATCTGGGCCGCGGAACTCAACAATAGGCTTTCTAACAAGAAAGGTGCACCGAGATTTTTAGCACCACAGTTGTGGGTGTTGTTTTCATCTCTCCAAATAAGCCTGAATCCCTGGTGGCAAAGACTTACTGAATCCACCTCCCACAGGGTCCCGGGGATCATGCGCGCAGCTGAGCCCAGACGTCAGGAGGAGGCGAACACAGGGGAAGAGCGCAGACACTGGAGTCTCACCGACCTGGCCCCAACTCCAGCTCTATACTTAGCTCCTGAGTGACCTTGAACAAAGGTGCCAAACTTCCGGCACCTTGCAGAGTACTTCCAGAGGGATAACAGCCCCTGAATCCCAGGATCACAGGAAGGACGTCATGAGATGCTATACATAAAGCCCTCCGCACTCAGTAAATATAACCAGCAGTTAACAGTACATCATAGCAGTGGGAGTGGTAGTAAAACCAGGCTCCGTAAACACCAACTACCAAGTAGCTCTGACAGGCCAAGATTGGAGATGTGGGTTGAGAGAATCCCCTGCTATTAACGAAGATACTGTATCGGGCATCTCCTTTTCCCTATGAAAATTAAGATGGGCAGTGACCAAATGCAGTGCCATGTCTCTCTCCTCCAGAACAGACCAACCCCCTCAGTTTGCTTTTGGGGTTCAAACCCAATCCATGTGCTCCTGACTCTCGGCACTCTGCTTCACCTGCCTCTGCAGTTCTTCTGCTCGACGGAGGCCCAGGGGAGAGGCCCGATCCCCAGAGAGCAGCGTCGGGCTCTCTGCATTTTACAAGGGCCTCCCTTCTGACAGCCTCCCCACTTGGCCCCCTTGGGTGTGTTCATTCATCCAGTGAGCACACGTTGACCAAGTGCTGGACACTATGGATCAAAACCCAAGCCAGAGGAGCTCCCCACCCTCCAGGACCTCCCAGCTCTGAGCGTCCTCCAGCTCCTCTTTCTTAATCAGAGACTCCTCCCTGTAGAAGCTTTCCTGCCTCCTAAGCAACATGAAGACGATGGTCTCATTAGCAGCAATAAAGGCAGGGGAAGTGGAGTTAGAGATTGTCAGCGTCAGGATCCCAGCTCTGCCACTTTGCTTTCCCCTTGTGTAACTGTGGGCAAATTCTTCCCCTCTCTGCCTCACCCACCTCACCTTTAGAATGAGGACAACAATACCTACCAATTAGACTTGTGAGAATGAAATGAAACCCCACCGAAGTCTTTCGAACAGTGCTTGCCACATAGTCATAAACGTTCACTAATACTATTTCACAACTTAAAAAAAGAGCCACTCTCAAATCTAGGATGGCTATTGGGCCACCAACCCAACAGAGAGCTAAGCCTACAATGGGAGGACTGAAAATGTTCAAATCTACAGCTCTGCTGCAGCAAGACTCTGCTTTTTCTGGCCAAGCCAGCTGAAATCTCTGCTTCCAGGGAAAATGTAAAGACTCTCTAGCAGTGGCCACAAGTTCTATTTGGTAACTCAAACTCAAAGAAGGTTCAAGCTCCGAGAGCATCCTGAGAGCTGAGTCAGCAAGGAAGTGCAGGAGGCTCCCTAGGGAGGGTAGGACCTGCTGCAGAGGCTGATCCCAGAGATCCCAGGGAGGCAGCCCATGGCGGAGCATTCAAGGTCAGGGCAGGTTCTAGAACCAAAGAACAGTCAAATCAGTGGGCAGGAGAGAGCAAGGGAAATCCCGACCACTGCCAGCTTTTGAAATCCGAGATGGTGACAATATGGCCCTGGGCGATCTGTCACTAGCAGCAAGACTCTAGGCCTGAGGCCCAGGATATGAAGGAGGGACAGCTCTCAGGGGAGATGGCTGGCAACAGTTAGTCGGGATTCCCTAAGCATGTGCACTTGGATTAAGAACAGTCCTAGCAGGAACCAGGGAAGTAAGCAAGTAAGTCAAGGAAAACTACTTTTGAATTACCCTAGCTGATATGACAGGGGAGTTGGAGAAGGCACACAAAGGAAGAAAAAGGGAAAGGGAATGAGTGATAAGACCCAGAGACTGTGAGTCACTCGGGGCTCACCCCTGACATGTCAGAAGCCAAGTCTACAGCAACAAAAACTTGATCCCAAGCTCCTCCAACAGTGCCACTTCCTTTCACAGCAGATGTGCTGACCCAGCTGTGGGCACCTGTACAGAGCAAAGGCAGGGGAAAATGAAAGAGTAGGGCCAGAAGGCAAACCCAAAACCAAAATATTATCAGAGGCAAGCATTCCAGATGAAATCAAGGATCTAAGTGTCCATATGTAGGCTTCATCCTGCAAACCCAGCCCTTCAGATGAAAGGAATCAACAGACGGGTTATCAGAGATGTGAGGTGACACATGGGGCACAGTCCTATTTAGAGTGAAGTCTTTCCTGGAGAAGGTGACTAGTGGCAGCTAACCCGAGTATGTTTTCTATGGCTATACTCTTTTCTCCCAGCCATCAAATCCGGAGGACAAAATGCCAAAGGCCTCTAGAGGTTAGTTCCCAGATAATGACCTAGAGGCTCACGGTAATCTTTTTCCACTGCACATCTTAAAGCACAAATCCATCCCCTGATACTCAGACTTTCCTCCTCCCAAGTCTCCCAACCAGAGCCAGATCTGAGCCCCATGACCCTTCCAGCCGCAACACGGCTGTGACACATGAACTTGACAATCGGGGGCCATGCCAGTCTTTGGGGCCTCGGTCCACCAAACTGCTCCAAGGCAGTGGGAAGGAAAGAGCCGGCAGAAAAAAAAAAGACTTGAGACTTCCTCCCATACCAGTGACAACTCCAGGGGTCCCCAGACCCAGTAACAGAAAGTGGGGGGCCCCTGTCTTTGTGCCTGGCTGCCACAAAACGCTAGGCAAATCACCTAATTCTGGCCATGTCCTTGATGAAGTCAATTCTAGTGTCTGAGACTCAGCTTCTCACCTGTAACACGAAGAAGCAAAACTAGGTGACCACCAAGGTTACCTCCAACCCAGGATTCTAGGACTCCCTGGTGCAGGAGACCAAAGCAGTCCAACATCTGTCCAGCTCAGGGAACCAGGCCACATTCTCTGCCAGGGAGGGGCCCCAGACTGGAAGAACAGGAGCGGCCACAAGGCCACAGTCATAACAAGGTTGGTGAAAGCAAGCGGGCCTTGCCCTGGAGCTTGGAACCAGCCAGGCCCGCCTCCCCTGGCCTTCTGCGAGTGTTCAGTTCCTGAGAGCAAGAAAAGATCCTGGATCACCAGGGTCAGGAGAGATGAGCTTCTTTTTCCTCAAGCTAGGATCTGGGATGGTTCCCTGTGTGCATGTATGTGTTTGCTGTGGGTTTTTCCCCTCCTCACTCTCAGTTTGATGCTGCCCACAGGAGCTGAGGCGGCTTCCCCCCACCCCACCACCGTCCCATGCAGCCTCTCACCTGGGGGTTGTCCATGTACCAGAGAAGGCAATTGGCCTGGGTGTCCAGAATAAAGTACCTCCGCAGAAACTTGCCGCTGTTCTCATGCTCCTCGATGTCCAAAAACCCACAGATTCGGTTCTGTCGATCCACATAAGGCATTCCTGGGCTCTGCTCACATCACCCTGCGTGGCAGGAGGAAGGGAGGTGAGGATGAGCGGGGTGAAGCGCTCCTGGACTCAGGACCTGTAGGAACTTCACTCTGGCTTGACTCACCGCTGTGAGAAGCTAGACTAGCTCTCTCATCCGCCCTCCTTCCCCAGAGCACCAAATGTTCCACCCCAGCCAGACCCCGGAAATCTCCGTCAGTTCTGTTCCACACATAGCCAGCAAAACGCGTGAGCAGGGACTCGGCTGTTTCCTGAGCTCCGCTGTGTGCTGACGAGAGCCTCTGGCAACTTTACTATGAAGAGGAAGTAAGCCTAGATCAGGGGCCTCGGTTCTAATTCCAGCTTTAGCCCCTTAGTAAGTGTGTGACTGCAAGCTATTTAATCTCTCCGCACCTCAGTTTCTGCACCTGTAAAATGGGGATAATTGTGGTACTTACACCTCCTAAGATTTTGGTGAGAATTAAGTGCCTGGCACACATTAAGCATTTCATACACATGAGGTATTATTATTGCCCTTCACAAAAGCCTTGTAAAGTAAGCCATAACCCAATTTTTTAAAGATTTTATTTATTTATTTGACAAACAGAGATTACAAGTAGGCAGAGAAGCAGGCAGAGAGAGAGGAGGAAGCAGGCTCTCCGCCAAGCAGAGAGCCCAATGCGGAGCTCAATCCCAGGACCCTGGGATCATGACCTGAGCTGAAGGCAGAGGCTTTAACCCACTGAGCCACCCAGGTGCCCCATAACCTAATTTTATACATAAAGAAACTCAGAGAAGATTTAAGCCCCAACCCAAATTCTCACATAAAACTTTGCCAGGAATTCAGTCACCAGGAGCAAACCTCCAGCTTCATGAAGGAATTAAATCTGAGGGCCACATCCCTCAGCACTAGCTTCCCTTACTTTACTTTGCTGTTACCTGAAAGCCATTTATGACTGGAAGGATGAGGGCTCAGAAGAAGGTCCCAAACGTTGAACACTTCCACTGACTCCATAGGGTCTCTGGTGATGAGAGACAAGCTTCACCTTCAAGCCAGCCTCCTTTCTCCTCGTGATTTCCTTCTGACTCTCTGAAGAGCCAAACAAAGGGCAGGGGCTCTATTCTCTCAAGGAGGATGAGCACTTTCGAATAAGCAACACATAGAACAGGTGGAACATGGGCCCACAAGGGTCAGAAAACACCACACGACATTCTGACTTTCAAGGACTAACACCACCCACCACTGGGCCCTGCTCGACTTCAACAGGCAAAACTCACTATGACCCAAGCCCACCAAAGCCCTAAGCAAAGTGGGGAGCTGGCTGGCTTGAGGCCATGCCTGTACCACAATGCTGGGTCAGCAAGTAAGATACCAAGATGCCCCACCCAGAGCCATCCAGGCCCAGGGCAGGCCAGTCCCACATTCCCAAAGTGTGGCGACTGGTGGCATGGTCTGTTCTCTCCCAGCTCCGTGGGGGCCTGGCAGTGTGGAGAGGCTGCCCCAAGGAAAAAAGTGCCCCTTCCACTGTGCATGAGTGCGTGCACACACAGGTACCAGTGAACAATGAATCCTTGATTGCAGGTTAAGATCAGGCCAGATTCCTGATGGGGACAGAGGACAGTCAGAAGGAACATGGGCCGGAGGCCCACAGCTACTTGCTGGTAATGATGGGGGACAAAAGAATACAAATACGGGATAAAGGTGAAACAGCACAGTTAAAAGGAAGGAAAGTGGGGCACCTGGGTGGCTCAGTGGGTTAAAGCCTCTGCCTTCAGCTCAGGTCATGATCCCAGGGTCCTGGGATGGAGCCCCACATCGGGCTCTCTGCTCAGCAGGGAGCCTGCTTCCTCCTCTCTCTGACTGCCTCTCTGCCTACTTGTAATCTCTGTCAAATAAATAAATAAAATCTTTATTTTTTTTTAAAGATTTTATTTAATTATTTGTCAGAGAGAGAGAGGGAGAGAGAGCAAGCACAGGCAGACAGAATGGCAGGCAGAGGCAGAGGGAGAAGCAGGCTCCCTGATGAGCAAGGAGCCCGATGTGGGACTCGATCCCAGGACGCTGGGATCATGACCTGAGCCGAAGGCAGCTGCCCAACCAACTGAGCCACCCAGGCGTCCCAATAAAATCTTTAAAAAAAAAAAAAAAAAAAGGAAGGAAAGAAGTAAAAGGTGAGAAAAGTCTTCTAGCAGACACCGGGTCAAAGAGAAGGCAGGAAGACTGGCACTGGTTGGGAAGGAGCATACCCCTGAGAAAGGATGTAGCTTCCCCACTCAGAGAATCAGGGGGAAATCGGAGTCCCATGCAGAAAGGCTGGGATGACCCACGCATCCCATGCACAGTCCCATGCATAGGTGCCCTTCTGAGATAAGGGAGCTCACCCATCCCCCAAGAAAACCAGACAAATTCCCTTGATGCCAGCCCAGCCACAGAGACAGAATTTCCAGAAGTTTCAGGACCGCAGCCACTCCTGGGACATCTCTACGAGAAATCATCTAAACTGCAGTAACCAAGCCGACTGTCTCTAGACCCAGCTGGTAAGCATGGCATCCAGCTTACTGCTGGCTTGCAAATGTTCCCTTTTCAGCCTACAGGACTAATCAGTGCCAGCCTTTTTGTCAGGTCCCAGGCTAGAGAAGGCACTGTCTACAATCCCCCAACAGTCTACTTTCGTGGAGGGTGCTTCCCATCTCCACGGATCCCGGGTGGGGGAGAATCTTCTTGTTTCAAAAGGAAGGAGAATAAAAAGAATTCTGGTTACTTCTCCTGACTGTGGTTCTAGCCCCAGGGGAAAAAAAAAAAGCTGCTTGGATGTCCTGGGAAGCAGCTGAGTCACGGATCTCATCAAGAATGTGGGAGGCAGGGGAGAAAGATGGGCCACAGGAGAACCAAGCATCACAGGGAAACGCTGTTATGCCTAGCCAGCCCACACAGAAGCAGTATACTCAAAAGATGGCGCACGAAACACAAACCTGACGTCCTAACCCCCAATCCTCTGTCAGTTCATTCTGACCCCACTTTTCATCCCTTGTCAGAACAGAGGCTTAGCTTTGGTACAGGGAGCCTGCTTCTCCCAATCCCCCAACCCCCCATCTCTGCTCTTCAGCCTGCCACCACCATCCTCTAAGTCCCTCTGGTTCCTCATCTTTTTCCTGGAAAGGCGCCCCCTAATCCAGTGATTTCTGCCACCCCATGCCCAACCCCAACAACTGGGCGGTGAGGGGAGAAAGAGAAGTGCTAGTAACTGAGTCATAAGGGAAGAGAAACACCTTGATGCAAGCATACACACAGTCACCCCAAACACCCCTACTAAGACCCAGGCAAAGCTCTGTACCATTCTTTCTACGTCCCTCCAATTATATAGTTTTAGCCTGTTTTCTGACTCTTTAAAACCACTTGTTATATTAAATTTCATTTTAATCCAAGTTTCACAGTGTAAAACTACTGAGTGGAGGGTGACATAGCGTGCTCTATCCCAGGACTTGTCCCCAACCCATGTCCTAAGCGCCATCCCTGACAATGACTCTCTCCCCATCTCCTGGGACAAAAAGCAAGTGTTCTCACTGGGATGCAGCATCAGATGCCCCTGTCCGAGGCGAAGCCCTTCACCTCTGTCCTAAGAGTGTAATGAAACCTCCTGGCAAGTAACTGTGGAATCTTCACAACATACTGGTGACAAAGAGCACAGAAGATTTGTACAGAAAAGGACCCTGGTCTACCCCAATCAGTACCCTCTTTCCAAAGTTTGCCAAACCTCCTTAGAATTTTCCATTTTTGTGTGCAGAAATCACGGTATAACAATGCTGGAATTTTTTTTTAATTCACTCTAGCCAGTCGTTTTCATTTTTGCATGCTTTTTCATGCCCCGTCCACATAATTGGCCTTTTTAAATTTTTAAATTATATCATAAACATGTTCCATGTTGCTACATAGTCTTTATAATCATTGCTTTTAATGGTTGCATAACATTACTGAACTGCATTTACTATAATTTACTTAACAATTTCTCTATGATTAGACAGTTAGATTATATTCAATTTTTCACTATTATAATGTTATGTAAATTCTTATTTTCATGCTTTATTTCCTCTTTCACATGGAAACAGCATACACAAATTCCAAGCAATTATATGACTAGATCATAGGTAATGATCTTTTACAATTCTTGAGACTTATTTAAAAACTGCTTGCTAAAAGTATTATCTGATTACATCACAGTCAGCAATATATTGTTACAATCTCTATAATCTTGTGTACATTGAATGTTCTCATTTTCAGCTGTTGCTAGTTTTAAACATACAATGATGCCTAGTGAGGCTGAACATTTTTTCACGTTTGCTTCCTGCTTCATCTTCTTCCTGGACGTTGTAAAATGCAAATCAAATTATGTGCACATACAGTAATGCATACTCTCTCTCTCTCTCTCTCACACACACACACACACACCCCAAACTAAACCAAAACATGGCCTCACATAATCTAAGTAATTGAAGAATGTATTTTAATGAAGAGTAAAATAGAAAAGAGGAAAGTTTTATATGATTCAGATTTCTTCAGTGTATAGTTCCTAAGTATGTACTGCACTTGAAAATATGTTAAATATTTAACTTATGGTAGAAGGGAGACTGAGTAAAAAGTGAGTTTGCATTGGGTTACCCACTGATCAGCAGCAGAAAATGGATTAAATGTCAGTTAAACCAAGATTCCCAGCCAACATTTGCCAGTTAACCAGATGAAGCTCGTGGGAAGAGTCAAGGGCTTCCCACCTTAGGATGAGGTGAAAGGCACTGGGATGTATCTGTCCAAAATGTCTCCCTGACTGCCCATTTCAATGTCTTAGCTTCCCTCATTGGAGATTTAAGCCAAGGAAAAAAATAATAAAACTCTCCTATAGGATTTGAGGCAATTGACATTTTCATCAGGCTAATTATATAAAAGAGAGAGCTGGGACCAAGACCCAGAGGAAATATGCACCAATGGGAGACAGAGGCACTAGAGGGTCAAGAATATAAAGAGAAGATTGCTGCTTGAAACA